GTCATGAGCATTCGCAGGACAAAGCTGGGCCAGTCCTTGTTAGTTTGAGATGATGCAGACCAGGAGGCTTGCTATGAGTTGTCATCAACTCAATGGCAGTGAGTTTTGGGTTTTTTAGAGACCAGGAGACTGATTCTAGTTTACTTCTCTGTATAATGCAAACCTCTCACCTTGTGACCCCATGCTCTCCCCCCCACCACCCACCTGTCCCTGGGCCACTCCCTCCCTCCAGACACAGCAAGCTCTGTGGAGATGTCAGATCTGCAGCAGGGAGGCTGAAGCAGGAGCCATGTGCCTTTGGGCCTTGAAGTAGAGGGGGAAAGCTGCTTGCTCTAGCTCAGTGGTTCTCGACCTTCCTCATGCCACGAACCTTTAATACAGTTCCTCATGTTGTGGTGACCCCCAACCATTAAATTATTTTCCTTACTACTTCATAAGTGTCATTTGGTTACTGTTATGAATCATAATGTAAGTATCTGATAGGCAGGATGTATTTTCATTGTTACAAATTGTACATAATTAAAGTATAGTGATTAATCACAAAAATAATATCTAATTATATATTGTGAGATATTTCTTTCTAATTACAAATAAATGGAATTTTGTCTTGAACATGGTGTAGCATGGGTGACAGTCTTCATGCTGGGTACTTGTTTATGGGCGTATCTGCATGTGGGCGGACCCGCCTGGAGACGGATGGAGGAGCGGTGTCTTGGGTCCTTAGACCATTAGAAATAGGTGTTTTTCAATGGTCTTAGGCGACCCCTGTGAAAGGGTCATTCAACCCCCAAAGGGGTTGCAACCCACAGGTTAAGAACCACAGCTTCTCTAGCTGAAGTGCGAGAAGGGGTCCCTGAGCTGATCCCTTCTGAACAAGGCTGCTCCCAGAAGGCTATGGGACAGGCTGCAAGATAGCTGAGTCTGCTGAGACTATTGATGTGGGTGGTGCTTTCTCAGGGTCCTTCCTGTCCCCAGTGTGCTGGTCACTGGAACCACAGCCAGCAGACCTGGAAGGGTCCCCAGAACCCTTGGGCTAACCCTCATTCCACAGGCAGGGGATATAAATGCTGGGAGGCCAGCCCGGCCTGGGCAGCACCCTGGTTCCGGAAGGGACACCTGGTGTCAAGCCGGAGCTCTCAGCAGGAGATTCACTCTGCGGTTTGGCGGTGCTGCCCTGGAATCTCAGAGCCTGGCTGCCCACCCTCAGTGAGGGGAGGCGGGACGAGCCTGTGCACTCCACCCAGGCCCAGCCGCCCTCCTTTCTCCTGCCCTTGGCCTGGACTAGCCTCTGCAGACAGCCCCTGTCCCTGATCCCAGATCCCTGCTGCCCCCTATGCCCTCGTTTGCAGAGGGGCTCTGGGGACCACGGGAAGAGAGACCACCACCACCTCAACGTGGACAAGCCTTTTTCCCTCAAGCAGCCCGGATTTACTGGACGCGAAGATAGGAGGAGGCCTTTCAAAGCATCTCGGGAAACGGGATGAACAAATAGTGGATGGAAACGGAAGGAAAAGAGTGGCATCTTCCCACGCACCGTTGGAAGCTCCCTCGTGGAGAAACTGGGCAGACAAATCTCTGGCGATTCTGTGGCAGCGGGAGCTCCTCAGGACCCCACCAGATGCTTTCTTGAGAATACACTGTACTCGGTGCATTGGCGTTCGTCAACATCTGACAATTAAATTTCAGAAAGGACATACACTGTACTCGGTGCATTGGCGTTCGTCAACATCTGACAATTAAATTTCAGAAAGGACACCGGGGCATGTCCTGAGAAGTCTCACGCTCTGCTAGGGGGAGGGGAATTTTGTGCTGGCTTCATAAAGCCCATTCCCAACATCCCTCAAAAAAAATTTTTTTAAATAAAATGTAACTAGCAACTCTATTTCTAAGGAAGTTAGCCTGTAGAAATGCCCACACTTGTACCACAAGAGACCCAAACAAGGTCAACTGCCACTTTTTGTTTTAAATGAAAAACCTTGATGTCTAGTCAAATATCCGCCCCCAGGGCCCATTTCAGCCAATTCAGCCCCCTCCCACCCGGTGCACTCCGCAGCACAGAGACGTGTGAAGCAGGCTGCCTTACATGCGATAAAGAAGATGATCACCGGAGATGGTTTAGGTGAGAAAGCGAGGAACAAGACAATGCCTGTCCAACACCACCGGTTACGCAGAGAAAGGGAACACGTATGTGCTTGCCTACAGACACACCAGACAGGGGAAGGACACTGACAGAGCATGAAGTGGGAGGAGGCTTTCACCAGATGCCGTCTGCCCTTTTTGAAGGCGCAAAGTGTCAGGCACTTCACATAGGAAATGAATGAATGAATGAATGAATGAGAGAGAGTGGATAACCCCTTAGTATAGAGTTACTGGTGTGTGTAGAAGGAGCCCGAGTGGCACAGTGGTTAAGCACTTGGTTCCTACTCAAAAGGGCAGAGGTTCAAATTTGCCATCTGCTTTGCGGGAGAAAGGTGAGGCAGTGTGCCTCTGTAACGCTCACGGCCGTGGAGACCCTATGGAGTAGCTCTGTCTTCTCCTTCAGAGGGTGCCAATGGGCCAGACGTGGCTCAGTGG